GTTCTGCCTATCCATGAACAGGGTACATTTTTCCATCTTCTAAGATCTTCTTCTATCTCTCTCTTTAGGGTTCTGTAGTTTTCATTGTATAAATCTTTCGCCTCTTTTGTTAGGTTGATAGTAAGACCTTTTTTTGGGTTGCCACATTTCTTAGAGGCCAAGTAGCTGAAGGATGATATATTTTTTAGGTGTTGATATGCCTACTTGATCATCTCTCTAAAGTTAGTTGAGAAATTTTGAAACCAGGCAAGTAGCGTATCTTGATTTCATTACTAGTATAAACAGCTTCATGAAATCACAGTACTGTTATCTTTTTCATTTCCACAAAGACTGATGCAAACTTATTCATGGACTGGAAACACTAAGTTAGATGAAAATACTGTGATGTGGACTCTGAGCTGGTTGAGAACTCTCTAGGGTGGTGATGATTAACCCTCTTTAGGGTTGATGTCATCCTGAAGAGGTAGGGTAATCCAGACCAAGAGTTTGGACTGTGTGATGTAGCACCAACAGCACTTTTGCTGGCCTTGAAGCCTAGAGGAAAGGGGAGAGGCTGGGAGGAGTGGCAAGAGAAAGCCCCTACAGATCTGATGAAGATTGAGACTCTAAGTAAGAAGGAAATGATTAGAGAAAGGTTTAGAGCTTCTTGAGGGCTTTTTACTGGGACTAAGAAGGAGAGTGCATTTGTAGAACTCATTTCTTGATTCCTTTCGGAGAAGTTCAGGCTGAAAGGAAAGTAGTCAACTTGCTAAGAGACTTTGTTTTGAAATATATTTTCCATCCCTTATGGTTAGGGACTGTAGCTTACATAGAAGGTTAAATCCTGATCTCAGTCCAAGGGTTTTTCTGAAGTATAGAGATGCTCTGTTTCTGATTTGATTTTTCTTTTTCCTTTCAGGCTGCCTGATAGAGGCTGTGAATCTCAAATCCAGCAACCGAAACCCAGTAGTGCAGGAATTTGAAAGTAAGTACACAGAGACACTCTGAGGAGAATGGGTACCCTCTAGTGGACACTTGGTAGTCTTGCAGTCAACTTCAGGACACATCTATATTGCGCAGGGCAGCTACTTAGTGTGTCTGTGGAGAGAAAGCAGCAAATTAGCAGGCCTGCAGTACATGCTGTGCAGGTTTTACATTGGATAACATTCCTTTCTTGCCTGCTTTGTGCTCACTCAACAAAGAAGTTTCTTACA